AAACACCATAGTTAAACGTTTCATGGTTCATTCATCCGTTGGCCTTTGGGTTAAAACAGTCAGTAAGGAGGCACATTAGTGTCGGTGATATCTGAGTGTTTTCCACTATAAGAAATCTTTCATACTTGAGTTTTCCCTGGGTATACCTTATTGACTTTCTCAAGTAAATGCCATTTAATGTAGGCCAAGGGAAACAGCTTTTAGCTATAAAACATCTGTACTAGTATTAAGAATTAGCTGCCCAGTTCCTAAACTGAGAAACGGAATGAAAGAAGAGACTGACTTGGATACATGTGTTTAATCTTCTCAGATATTACATGCAGTTAGAGTCTTTCAATTGTTTCAGATTGAGAGTTTATTTATTAATATTACAGTTCATGTTGGGCTTAGCTTTAAGATGTGTTTTTGTTTAGTTTTATTTTGGTTTAAATCTCATATGAAAGCCTAAGGGGTTTTAAAGCGGTTCTAATGCTTCCTGTGGGATAGGGACCTAAATTTTTTTGAATCGGTAGCCAATGGCAAGAAAATTTTTTCAAATAATATCAGTTCCAGCTTTCAGGCAAAAGTAAGGTCTGGGTATTGTAACTTAGTGTTACTACTCCAAACCCCTGTCTCTAAACAGCTCTCAGCTGCTGCAGTATAGGTGTCTTCCATGACTGAACTCCACTGAAGGAAGAAATGCAAGGGACAAATGTGCACTTTTCAGACTTCCTTTGAAGTTCTTTCCAGATTTTTTTGTTGCATTTCTAGTTATATTCTTTCTGCTAAACAAACTGAACTCTGGTTGAAGGATTGGGGTTTTTTACTACTGACTCAACAGATCCCAACGTGTAGCAGGATGAAGAAGTAAGGGTAAGATCCTGCAGACACAATTTATATGCATACTTATGTTATATGTAGGCCATGGTTAATGTAACATGTGACATGGTTTGATAGCACTGGCTCTAGAAAACAAAACAGGTGGTGTGAGAACCCATGTAACTTTATACATGTTGGAGGATCTTACCTTGACCTAGATCTCATCTGTGTCATGAACTGCACGTGTGTTAGCTGCGGTGTGTATTCCTCTAGGCTTGTCTTCCCATTTAGTTTTCTGCAAAAGAAATCCAGCACACTGCAGTGCTCACCAGAGCATGCTAGCTTGCAATAACCAGGAGTTTTTCCTTCAGAAGTGCATTTCTGAGCCAAACTAAAATAGTAGTGTGAATCCAGCAATGGATTTGGTGTATACATGGTGGTGTTTGTGCTCTGAGGTTGTTTGTTTTGTTCCAATAAGATTACCTTTCTGTGAACATTACTGCTCTGTTTCTTACGTATCACAGCTTTATCTGACAAGATACTTTATGCTCTTGGTTCTTAAGGTCTTTGCTCAAATTCTCCTGTGGACTCATTTTGTTTGACAAAATTCAGTTCATTGCTTACAGTCCAATGTGTGTCATCAGTCACAGGATGGTAAACTAACCAGATGTGAAATGCTACATGCTTTAGGCAGTCTTCTTTATTTTCTGTTGTGCTCTTGAATTCTATTCTCCTATGACAGCTTAACTCTGAAGTATGCATTTAAAAAAAATGCTCCTTTAATTAAATTAGAGTTAGTTTTGACAGAATTCATGAAAGAGAGTGTGAGGCTTTTAATTGGTTTTGGTGGGATTTGGTCAGAATCTCAGACTCTTAACTTCTGTGTCTTACATAGTTTCCCTGTTTTGGAGAAGTTATGTATTCAGAGTCTGCAAACTTGTACTCTGATAACCCTGCTGTATATGTTCTCTTACCCGTTAATACTATCTCATTCACTCTAGTTAAACTAAAATATCAGTTTATATGACTAGAGATAGAAAAATGACCTGTTAACTATTGGCTGCTTTTCCTGTATAGCACCTTCTTTCTTGTTTCTTATCTTTTTGTAGCATTTTGTACTTCCATCTCTGAACAGCTGTCTGAAAAGTAACTAATCTGAATTTCTTTTAAATTTCAAAAACCACAGGAACAAAGTGTCATGCAGTTCACAGGATACCTTTCCAGTCTGTAAATACTTTGATATGGAATTAGACAGTTTTTATTCTTAGATTAATGATCCCTCACATAGAATCTCAGCACAAATATTGTTGCTTGTTTCTGTCCAGTTCACTTTTTACTGGCCAAGTGTTGCTGTGGAGTAACTGTCAGTTTCTAGTTGTCTTGTCTGTTTCTTATTCATTAAATCATTTGATGGACTATTAGTTTACTTCCTATGTTTTACTTGATATTTTGTCATCTTAAGCAGTTAATAAAAAATGTTATTTCTCTTCCTTGGTGCAGTATATTTTGTTTTAGAATACCAAAAGCACACATAGAAATATTATCATTTCAACAATTAACTTGTTTTACAAAAAAATTTTTCTTACAGAAGTAATAGTGGCTAGGGTAAACATAATTCTTTCTAATTTAGTGCATGTTAAAAATTACCTGAATGCTCAAAAAACACATTTGGCCACAGCCCTAGAAGCCTAAAGTGCTGTGTCAACCAACTGGAGCAATAAAGAAACTGGAGTAATGAGGAATTTGGATTTATCACTGTCTGTCATGTAATTTTATTTTATTTTTTTGACACGGGGTGAGTCAGTGAGTCTGTACCTTTGCTTAATTGAAGTGCTTACCTTACAAGTGCTTATTATTCAAGCTGCATGTGTTATCTTTATTAATTGCATTAATTAACTTTCTAAGCACTCAGTAAGCTTACCTTTCTCAAAATATGTTTAGACAGAGAGCTAGGAGTTCTTGAATCACTGGTTTTGTTTTAGGAGGAGACTTTATAAAGCAAGTGGGATTTGAGATCATTTTTGTTCTCATTTTGGGGTTTATTTTTAAATTTAAATATAAACTCTGGGTGAAGAGGCGTCTGCAACTACTCTGGCTGATTACTTGTACCCTCAGCCCATGCTGCTACATGGCTTTTGAAGGAGAAGTGACTTCCCTCAGCAGCATCTGCTGCATAGGTGTGCAGTTCTGTTATGGGGTAGCATGCTTTCTAGAGAGGCAGAAAAAAATGTAGCTTTTGGTCTGGTGCCGAAGCTAGATGAGAAGAGACCATTAGCTCATTGTTGCAACTGAGTGTCAGCCAGTCCATGCCTGGTGCCCTTCTGAGGACATGATCAGATGAGCAGGGGGAGCAGTAACAGCTCAGGAACTTGGTGCTGCCAACTGTGTTTATGGGACCCCAACAGTCTAATAATAGCTAGTAGAAACAGAGATACTTTAATGTATTTTTCCAAGAAATGTCATGCTATCCTATGTTTATCCTATAGGCTGGCAATTCTATACAATTCCAGGAACGGAATTGTCTGCTCCTTTCTACAGTACCTAGTACAACAGGAACCTAACCTGTTGCTGGGACCCTAAAAATTGTCTTAGTACAAGTAAGAATATAATAATGCAACTGTTCTCTAGGCTTGCTGAGATGGCTTAATCACCAAACTCATCTGGGCTGCATAAGAAGGAAGTGGGTGGTAGCTTCTTTCAACACGGAAGAATACTTACTTTATGTTTTTGTGGGAAGTAACTTCCCCCTACATTTACATAAAAAAGATAAGTCTGATGGAAATGTTTATTTGAAGTTCTTCTGCCTTGTTAGGACTGATGATAGGCTGTGTAAGACAAACTGAATTAAAGAATAATATCCCTATAGTATTAAATCAGTAGAGACAATTAATTTATTAGCATTTTTTTCATATCTGCAGCTGCTGTCTCTGTATAGGCTGCTCTGTCTATATCTGTCAACCCAGCAAATAGAGTATTAAATATATGTCCGGTAGACAGGAACATTTGCCAGTGCCATACTGTTTTCATCTGTCAACTTTCTAGCTTGTGTTTACTACTTTTGACCATATGTTAATGTGTTTTGTTCTTCTTTTACATAGAAAACTTCCCAACTCAAGGATATTGTCTCTGTATCGTAACACACTACATTCTGATCCTTGGCAGTGGTTATGAGAAGGCAGACTGAGTACTTTTTGAATGTATGGAACTGATTTAAGGAACTTTATCTTTTTAGGTACCATGGCAGTAATTTATACTATTAATGATTCAGTATAGGGAAATAAGTTTCCCAACTTGTAGTTGGAAAGCAAGAGGAAATTGTCTCCTCAAGATCTTTTAATAGACCAGTTATCAGATTAGCAATCTGTTAGCAGCCTGGACTGTCATGAGCAGGAACCTACGCACAATATGAGCTGTCATTTATTTTTAGAAACAAAGGGAAAATGAAGAAAATTGAGAATTTTTGATGTCTCAAGCAGTATTAAAGTTACCTTATAATACTGGAACTATACTCCGTCAACTCCAGTATCCAGCCTTCAGCAAAGGATATAGGAAAATGCACTGTAAGAAGAGGAAGAACTGAAACAAAAAGTAGCCAAAAGGCAATCCAACAGAAAGACTGTAACAGAACAAAAAAAGAACCCTTTCCTAAGGCATATCCATAAGCTCCTGTAGAGAAAACAAAACAAACAGTATATAATAGATGTTAGTCATGTAACATGTTGGGCTTTCTGAGACATAAGGTCCTGAATAGTATCAGACAGAACAGAGTGGTGAAGTAGCAAGGAATTTTTTAATTTTTATTTAGTTGACAGCATGTGAAATACAGACACCTTGCTGTGAGCACAACACTGCCTTTCAAGGTAGTATCTTATTTTCCAGGTTTTTAATTTTTTTTTTCCAATGGTGCTTCTGAATCCCTGATGTTGCTTTTACATCACATTGTGGTATGACTTGGGTAGAACATGCAGTTATACTGATTAATTCTGGGGAAATCATTCAAACTGTATCTTCAGCAGGTGAATCATGCTGGTATATTGCCAGATATCTGAAGTACCTGATATAGCCACTGAACAGGAGTTGGAGACTCCCAGCAGACTCCCCTGCATTGTTTATTTCTGACTTAATTATCTCTATAAAATGAGCAGACGTTTAGTAATAACTTTTAATATCTCAAAAGTTATCTTTGATTTCTATTTCTACAGATTGCATCTCACAAGCCCTCTTACATTTTATTCAAACTACCCAGTCTTGGCTATTCCCTGCAGACAGAAAAATGTAGGTAAGCTGCACTTATAGAATACTTCCTTTTTCTACTGCTACATAATTATTGTGAGAAATCAGTTTATTAACTACTTACAGAGGTATTATGAAAGGCTTTTACAGAATCTACAGTTTGAAATGGTTAACTTTGAGAGTGACTTTTGATCTGCTGGAAGAACTGTATTAGGTCTACATTTTTGATAGCTATGAGAAGTATTCCCATAGATGGTGTGATTGATCATTCTTTCTTTCTATTTCCTTACCTGATAGGTGAGATTATTTTAACATAAAGCAATTGTGGGAACTGTAAAAGCTGCAAAGATTGTAAGAAACTTAAAGAACATCTACAAGAAGTTGTTTGTTTGTTTTTCAAACTCTTTATTGCCTATATGCTATCACTCATGTTCCCCCAGCACATGGCAGAAGAACATTTCCTTCAACAGTATGTCGGTGTTGCTGGTTTGCTTCTGAGCAATGGTCAGATTTGGTGTGCAGTGACACGGGTGATCATATGCAGCTATGTGTGCAGTTGAGCAATGTCTAGAAAGTCAATTTGCAATGATAGCTTCCAGCGGGATGATTTTCCTATATTTATGGAAACAACTGATATGATAAAATAGGACTGAAATTAAGTGGTGTATATTAATACTTAAATCTTTCTTCTTTCTTCAGCCTCCCATGGGGGTTTTCATGTCAAGTTTGTTGTTTTCTAAGCTGTACTTTGACAAAAACTGCAAACAATAATTTGAGATGGATTGCTATGGACTGGGAATGAATTAGACATCTGACTATCCTTTTAAAAACAGATGTGGCTAAGATATGTGATTGAAAATCAAGGGAGATGAAACATTTGTGGACTGTTTCATTTCATGACGAACAGAGCTTGGAGGATAAAAGTTATTTTAAAAGTATTCACTTGCATTTAAAATCAATATAGTAAGACAAAGTTTTGTTCCTTTTTGTTGCTGTTCTGAAAAGTTGTTTTTTTCCAAGGACAACTTCAGGAAAATAGAGCAGTTTATACTTTATATTTCTATGGAAAATAAGTTTCCATAAAAAAATATTGTGTAATACAAAATATGTCGTGGTGTGGCATAGAACCACTAGGCAAGGGATACGCAAATGAACAGACGAGGCTATGGTACTTGATAATAACTCAGATCACTTGAAATAACCAGTTCTTGTGAGAGTTTTGGCATTTACTTAATGGGCCAGGATTTCCTTCTTGCTTTGTAATTCAACAGCTGCACTTGAGCTTTGCAAGGGCAGTAAACTCTGCTGTTCTTACGCTGTTTTTTTTCTCAAGCCCCTAAATAAATACAAGGTATTTCAAACAACAAGTATTTCTAAGTGATAAATAAACTACTGCAAAGAACACATCTGCTCTTTTGTTTATTAAACTCCTATAGGTTATGAAAATGTATAAAACACTTTGCTGCAGAGATCTTTATGTCAAGTTTAGCCTACCATGAATACTACAGTTGAATTATAAACCCCTGAAAAACGGGATGTATCTTGTGGCAAGATAACATTTACTCCAGGAATGCAAATGCTTATCAGGGTAATACTTCATGATTACGATCATATTCATTTTGTCAATGTACCCAACTGTCCCTTCTAAAATTATGGGGAAAATCAATCTCAGTGTGCACGAACAGATTGATGCCAAGGGCTGAGGGACAGAGACAGTAATTCTGATGCCTGCTGATCTTTTTAATGTAAAGCAATAGTAGAAGGAAGCTGCTTCTCTGTACTTCTAGCTGTCAAGTAGCAAAGACAGTGTCATAGCATGTGATCAAATGAGGAGGAAGTTACAGTGCTGGTCTATTTCTGTGTGACAAAGCTTTGAGTTGTGTTATATTACTGTGAATTGGTTCATTTTTTGTTCCATCACTTTGTCAGCCAGAAGTCCCCAGATGATTATAAAGTCCAAGGAGGACCAAGAAATTGGTGTTCTGCTGGGTTAGAGGCTGAACATTCAGTGCATTTGCTTTCCAAAGCAATGCTCATCTGGTGTCATATCAAAAGGTCTGAAGGGATTGACATATTTTATGTGGTGGTTTAATGACTGCTAAATCCTTCACTGAAGGTCAATATGGAAAATCTTGACTGGGGGGGAACTGATTAAGCACCAGTACAATTCTGCTATGTTGCTTCTAGCAACAGTGTTAGCCATTTTTGTGACTGACAATTTAATTATAATACTAATGACTTCTTTTCCCAGAATTAGGATATCATTTTGATCATGAATGGCTATATATAATATTTGATAAAATATCACATATTGTAAGCCTTTGCACTGAGAATTTAGTTGCTGTAAGTTAGTGTAAGTTTATGAAATAAGATATAGCAGAGAAATAGTGTGCATATGTGTGTTTTTATAGAAATAAGCTACTGTTTTTGAGATGGTTACATTATTCTCAAGCTATATTTTCTCTATTTTGGTAAGAAATACATTTAGAGGTATCTTAAGAAAATAGACATATAACGTACTGACAGCCGTATACCTTTGTGAATTATAATGTACCTGCTGACAGAATTTTTCAAAACCACTTACTCTCATTTTTTCCTATATGAAATAATAGTACTCACTAATTGTACCTTTTCTGCACATTAGTGTTATTTGTTAAATGAAATAAAATACTTTCCAGCAAAAATGTTATTCTGGAAACAAAACGAACAAAAAAGCTTTAAAATAAACACCCAAGCATGAGGTAAGTTAGACAAAATGCCTGTTTTCAGTGAAAACATTTCCTCTGAAACTGGTGAGGAACTGGACAGAGGTTTGGACCCAAATAGATCAAGGGCCTTAACTAAAATAAGAAGCTGTAGCTTCTCAATATATGTCTGTATACCTTTCAGTTTTGTACAAGTTTATTTGAATACATTACTTAAGAATTTCACCAGTTAGTGAATCACTGTAAATTTTGGATTGAACTGCTTCTATACTGCCTAATAACATATAAACCAATTGTAATGCAATCAAATTATGTGCAAATAGGGAGTGAACAGATTGTTTGTATGTAAAAACTTACTTTTTCTTGATCTGATCATAACTTATATTCTGTACATTTTACTCTCTCTTATCACTTGGTGTATGACAGAGAGCAAAAATTTCACATAGAATGGAAACAATCCCCTTCAAGAATATTAATATAGCCATTAAAGGAATTCTTTTTGTACGGTTGTCTTGATTTTTATTGTAGGAAGAACAATTAAGAATCAAAATCATGGAGTTGAAACAAAATCTTTCAACTATAACAGAATTATTTTGTGGGTTTTTTCACTGTAAAAATATCAACAGATTTAATACATTCCTGTGAAACATTCATTTTCATGAAGTCAGCATTTCTTCCAAAAAATTTATTTTTTAACATGTCAAAGAATTGTGCTTTTCCACACGTACCATAGAAGATATTCAGATCAGACAGACATGCAGTAATAGGACTGTCAAATTGCTGCATGCTCAGTCTCTGGCCTCTTAACCTCAAAATATGTAATCATTTTAGACAGGTAGCTAAATTACCCCATAAGGGCACTAGAATGTGATAACATTTTTAAATTAATTTCAAACTAGGTAACTCAGTATTGGCAAAAGTGTAGCCACAGTGGTACATTGTTCACATATTTAATATGTCACTGCAGTGCAGACATAACTGAGACTGTTAAATTGTGTCCCTAATCTTAGTTTCTTGATGCTTGTGCTTTGAGGAAAGCCTTGGTATCTCTTGAACATGTACTTAGGAAAACCTCACGAGTGATTACTTTTTCATATTTTTAACTAATGTTGACTGATGTTTACTGAACAACAAAAGCATTTAGAAGTAACATGTTTGGAAGAGGAATATAACAATGTATTTTATACTAAGTATTTCTTTGGAGTTGTCTTCTGGGTCAGAAATTGTGATTCGTCTTTACCTCGTGTCAATCCATTGAGCAAATTAAAACTTTCAAAAAAAATGCATGAGTAAATATTTCAAAATGGATGGAGTACTTTGGATTGTAGAAAAGGAATGAAATGGACTCCTTTAAATTGACATACCTGTAATGCCTCTAACAGGAAAACTAGAGCAAACAGCTGACATTCTGGGGTGTGGTGATACATAATGGTTGAAGTTGATGCCCAGAGTATTCAACCCTCTTTCTAGTGTTTGGAAATATTGCATTTCCCAGTGCAAAAAGGAAAAAACCACTTCCCTTGAATTGCTTCTTGCAGGAAGCCATTTGATTAATGTATTCATTTCCAGTTAGCTGTTAGATAACTGAGTAAATTCTCTTGGTAAATATTTTTCAAACTTTTATGGTTATTACAATTCAGTCATTCAGTGACTGAAAAATTCTGGCAGTAAGCTCATTTCATTACTGTAGGCTTAGAAGAAATTAAATGAGAGATGTCAGGCTTTCATCAAAACGTGTAAAATATGCATGTGCCTACTGAATTCAGTAAGTATGAGAAGTTAACCAAGTCAAACTGAAATAGCATGTTGTGATGTTTGTTTCAATGGTCCTTAAGTGCATTCATGTGTGGCATTGATTTTATGGTAGTCAGAGTGTCATACACACTGTAAAACATAGAGTTCATGATTATATGCTTCTAAAATGTGACTCATTTTGTTAAACTTCTCAATGATTTTTTTTGTTTTGGGCACTATGAGTAATAAAGTTCTGTTTAGTATTGGTAAAACCACTTTGTTCTCCTCCTGTTTGATATTATCATGATGGGTAAATTTATTTCATTATCTGTAAACAGTTCTAATACTTATGGGAGATATCTGCCAAACTTTTACTCCTTGTTTATAGCATTTTAAGTGTCCTTGAGGCAGGTCAGTAAGAGGCTCCTGCTGAGGATGGCAATGTGACTGTTAAGTTGCCAGTGTCAGGATCCGTCTCCAACCAGGACTGCAAACTATTGTCTATACTCAGTAACTATGCAAAAAGGGTGCAGTAACTGCACTCAAATGGGAAAACAGAAAAACAAAAAAAAAACAAAAAAACAAACAAACAACAAAAAAAAAAACA